GAGAGAGAGAGAGATGAATACCCTCTTTTCGAGGTACTGCAATGGTAAATGATGCGGCAAACGACACTCCAGCTAGGTGGATCGTTGCTAGGGGTAACCAAACGAACAAAGCAATGCCACGCTATGTTAGTACAGGTATTATGCTGGGTATAGGGAGTGCAACCTACAGAACACGTGCAATTATAAATCGCTGCCTACCCCGCAAGTTTGACCGTTGGTGGCTGTCCGTTGTGACAACTGGCAGTGTTTCCCCTGCTGGCCAAAAAAGATGTGTGAGGAGGTAAATTTTGTGTTGGTGTGTTTGCGGGGTCCTAGCAAAGCAAGCACATCAGGTGCACGCCAAGCTAGAGGATCGAGTCCGGGGGCATGGTCCCCCAAATTTTTTTAAAGAATGGTGCAATGTGGTGTATTCAAACTATTCTGAACACATTGTATGAGATTTTCGTCAGCGAGGCGGTGTTTTGGACAAATAACTGTGTGGCGGCTGAGAATTTGAGCGAGGCGGCCCACCTCGCTCTTGTCAATGCCGGGGAAACACTGGGTAGTGTACACCCTACAACACTGACGATGTAGCCGCCGCACTGCGGTGTTTGTGTCGTCATGACAACCACGCGTGTTGTAAGGCATACAATAACACTAACAGTGATAACTTTTGTCTACATATGTTAGTATTATGAAAAACGCTGTGGCTATATATGCCCGGCAGCCGGGCACGATCTTCGATTTCCTAAATGCCTGGCAGTTTGACCTCTCTTTGACCTGGCTCGTTCCGATCTTTCTGACTAACCCTAACCCTAATTAAATGTAATTAACACTAATAAATTTAATTTAATTAAAAAAATGTTAAAAAAAAAATTAAATTGTTGTAAATAAATCATGTAAATATTTGAGTTAATTGGAAAAAAATAGTTAAATGGATAAAGATAGAAAAATACATAAAACAGAAAAATAATTAAAAAACTGATGGGATTCGAACCAGCGACCTTTCAGACGTAACACTGGTGTTCTACGAGATCGGCTATACAGCATTATGAAAATAGCCCATGACATATATGCTAAATAAGCAAAATACATGTGTACACATGCGTATTATGGAAAACTGCCGGGTATTTAGGAAATCGAAGACCGTGCCCCGCTGCCGGGCATATAGCCACAGCATATGAAAAAACAGCGAGGGGGCCCCAAGCCTAGTGTAGCATCCCGGATTAGTTTAGCACACATGCGAAAACACATTTGCACAGTTCCCAAACCATCATTGATCACAGTGAGGGCTCGATATTATTAAGCACAAGAGAAACTGACCCACAAAAGTTGTTCATCACAGGCTGTGAGAGACAGTCACAGTCACGGAGGCCTGCGGCAACTGCAGGGTTCCCCCAGGATGAAATTGAAACAGGGGGAGGGGGAACTAGGGGGGTCCGGGGGCGTGTTATTTACCGTACCACTAATGCGTACCCGGGGCGGGCGCGCCCGGTTTGCGCAACGTAGGGAGGGGCCTGTGGGCGATGGATGCTCATGCCATTCTTCACAAGCTGCATGACTGTTAGATAAGCCAAAAAACTACTGATATCAGAGCAACTTCTATTATTAACAATTAGAGTTTCAGAGTTTTAGCAGGAGAATGCACCTAACGCAGCTATGCGTGTATTGCTGCTAATTGTACAGACTAATTGTATCCTGCGTGTTGTGTCTTGATATTGTAAGTCCATAATAATACTGAATAGATGATTATTTTATTATAGTAATTGGTAAATTAAAAGAGTTCAGGAAAATGCACAAGATTTCATAGATATGGAAGTACAGAATAATTGATAAGGGGACGTATTAGTCTATATTTCCAAGTATCATCATTAAATCATGCATATGTATGTACATGTATTGAATGTAGTATTACTTTGTTTACAAAATACTTATTTTTGCAATCTACTTGCATCTAAAATGGTTTAAACTTTCTCTGAGACTTCATTGCACTAATCTTTTTCTTGTCTTCGTCGAACTTTTGTCGCAGTTGAGCTAGATCTGCAAACAGCAAATAATTTTATGAATGAACCCAAGAGTCAGAACCTTAACAAAGGGAGAACATTTGCTATAACAATATTCTACATATTAGTCTTAATTTGGAACACCTCATGTACCACAATACATTAATATTTCCCACATATTGGAATATTCCTTCCATACAAATATAGTAGTCAACTAATTCCTAAAGGCTAAATGTCACCAGGCATACACCTTCAAGTGAATATCAGACTCCAACTCACGTTCTCGTTTCGAGTCTCGTATCTGGAATGCGTAGAAGTTCTTCAGCTCCTGCTTTTGTCGCTTCTTGCGTTCGCGCTGTGCAATACGCTTATTGAACGCCTCGGTTCTTGCCAGACCCGGCTTCTTGCCGTGTCTCACCACCGTTACCCATCCTTCATCATCTGCCTGCCCGACGGAGTCCTTCTCACGTTTCTTCTCCTGCATTGTGTGAAAACCAGATGATGTGATACAAACATGACAACCTACCTCAGCTCATGGGCTGGAAGATTTGAGCCCATTACTCATTAGGGACCAGGGGGCTCATCGTCAGACACATCCTCAAGTTAAAGCTAATGTTAATGCAAAGATAGCACATACAAGTAATGTAAATTTTACAAGAATAGCATTGACAGAAACCTATCGCTAAGCTACAAAAAAAACTTACTATAGCAAGAACTTATTAATTTGCTGCCAAGAGGCTAGGCTGCTGATTGGATGAGAATCGATCACAAAACAAAAATTCATATACATTTATTGTATGTGACAGGAATTTATGCATTTTATGATAGTTAATCGCATATAAACAATTACTGATGAAAAAACATGATCACGTTTTCATTCTGCACAGCGACAAGATGCGAACGTCATGACTTACCAAAATGCCCAAAACAACAGAACAATCGCCACTTGTTAATGTTGTTTTTTTGCTACACGATCGGTAGATACGTAGTATTTCTGATGTGTTTCATGAAAAACAGGTTTTACTAATCAATATAAAATATAATACCACCATAATTGCAATTCTTTGCGTAATTACAATGTGCATTCCCTTTTTTGGTTTTAATGTTATGAGTGTCTAGGATTCTGTAACAGTAATGCTAAGACGAAGTTTACCAAAATTTTTCACTCTCGTAACTTTACAATGTTTCTATCAACGGTCTGCATATCGAGGATAATGTTAAGACTAAATTTAAAAGACTAATTTTGTTTCTGACTGTGGGCACCTGGGCATATGACTGATAAGTAATACATTTCCACCTGCAGAAAACACCAGCCAAATTATTGATACAATGGCCTTTTACTTGAAACAAATTTGTGAAGATATGCCTCAATAACGAGAATCAATAAAAGAATTTACCTCTTTTATCTTTTTGTCATATTCAGCAATATATTCATCCACCTCTGCCTGAAGGGCTTCTGTATCCACAGAATTCTCATTGATATATTCATGACACCATTCTGTAATAAGAGAAAATATCTATCACAATACTATGACATATTAGCAATGGTTCATAAACTTGTCATATATTATAATACAATACATGATACATGCAAACATCTATTGTGTTCTGCTTTTCCAAACGCAGCCTGATGTATACTGTACAGTGCCTGATACACTCGAGGCATGCTAGAATACCTACTTTGCATTCCAGTAATCCCGAGATGTTCGTCCGAGAAGAGAACTGATGGAGATTTTGCTGACATCTCTTTCGCTTTTTGAATGCATCCTGTGGTCTTGAATACGATATATGCAACTTTGTATCCCTGAAATAATATGGAGGTATTGGATAATAGGATAATATAGATTATTCGTGTACAGCTCATAATATACAGCCATTTTATGTAGTTTTATAAAAATTATTCACTGCTTGTCACGCAGTTATAGTTTTGACTGTATAAATTTTTATTACATTAGATAGGCAACAGCAGATGTAACAAAATACCTTACAGCTTGGAGATGTCTTAAAAAAATTAGAGGTTTCATCATTAGGCGTGCTACTCGTAGGCTTCTGGTGTATGTGCACCTTCTCTACAGCACCACACTCTGAGAAAAGTCTCTCCAGACATTCCTTTTAAAAAAACAGTAATTCATAATACAGTAAAACTCGCATAAGTCGTCATGGAAGTCAAAGTCCCGATTTTCTCTCATAGTAAATCCATTGGAATAGCCTCGCCTAAGTCGTCATTATGTACAAGTCGTCGCCCTCAGACAGGTCCCATGTAATACAAACAACAGTAATTTCCCATATGTAAGTCATCACCAGAAATGCAGATGGCGCTCGCGCAGTGTACGGTCTAGGGGATGTGCGAGCTGGCTGTCACAGATATGCGCTTACTACAGTTCGTTCCAGAGCACGGCCTCGCGGAATTACCGTATTTGTTCAGCAAGTGTTCCAAGAAAATTTGGCAGACGTGCACCGCAAATGTCCTGCAATGTCCAAACGTGTAATCAACAGCGGGTGTTACAGATAGCCAGTGTGTGTCGCGCTTGCTGCTAGTGCATACGATCAGTGCGTTATGGCCAGCAGCGGTGTCGATTGATGTACTGACCCGATTGTTTCATGTCTGCTATGTATGTGGCGCGAACTTACGTCGTATGTGGAGCATGTTTATGACTGCGTAGGGGTGATGGGCGCCTGGGAGGGAAGCCCTACATACGAGTCGACATAATGATGACTTACGTGTATGTCGTCATTTTCGTAAGTTGGCACAAATATGCTGGTCCCAAAAGTGTCGACTTATGCGAGTTTTACTGTAGTTACTAGTTATGGGTAACAATTATGCATGCATGCATGAAATGAACCCTTGCTTAACATGTGCACTCCTGAAAGATGTATCTCAAAACAATATGATGCCAGGTGACATAAAATCTTTTGTAGGAGCATATTACCATAAGAACTTCATAGAAATTACTGCACTTGTTGATAATGCTAGGAGATCAAATCATTACCTCATTACAATATGGTGGAACACTCAGGACAAAGAGCGTTCTGTCAGCTGGTTTACAAGGATTGCTGTCGACAACATTATGTCCTTTTATGTACATGTAGTGAATAGCTGATGATGTCTCTGATAATTTCGCTGGAAGCACTAGAATGAGAGAACTGTTTTAGTACATTCTTAAAAATGGACACAATCTGATAATCAGGTGCTCTCAGGTACTATCTGCCATTTTTAGTTACCGTAAATATATATAATCTAGCAGACACTACATGCATAAATGATTAATATGCCTGTGCACCAGCAAATCTCTGCCAAATGTAGGAACATTTACTGCAGAAGTAGATAATAGGGACCCTATAGGTTCTCTATTATCAGGAGTAGATAATAGGGAAGGAGTGTGACTTCAATAAACAAGGGAAATTCGTCATTTGCTAGCCTTATAATACCTACGATTTACTACGCGTAACTCATCCAACTTAAGCTCAAATCGTACACAGTACATTCGCCTAGCATCGTGCGAAATCGTTTCCTCGTATACACACGCAATATAACTATAATCTATCTATAAAAATCTATTATCTGCTATATTTGCTATACGCATACATCTAGGACAGCATTCTACATTTATCCAGCAGATATGTGATGTGGAATAAGGTGCTCTCTACTTCAAGCTCTCTCATTTCGACCCAGACCTCTGCACATCGGTGGTTGATATGGCTTGTGCACCGTCTCTTAACAATCGGCTTACACTACATCAGAAGTAGATAATAGCAGGAGTATATAATAGGGAAGGAGTGTGACTTCAATAAACAAAGGAAATTCGTCATTTACTAGCCTTATAATACCTACGATTTACTACGCGTAACTCATCCAACTTGAGCTCAAATCCTACACAGTACATTCGCCTAGAGCATCGTGCGAAATCGTTTCCTCGTATACACACGCAATCCGGAGATACAGACTAAAGCGTACGACACGATTTTCCATTCTGTTGCCAGCAAACTCGATGCGTTCAGAGCCTAATTTGAAACAAGTGCCGCAGAGCGACAGGGCTCATCTGGTGTCTGGTGTTCTGCTGATAAATTCATTTTTGCATAGCAAGACGTCCTATACATACGTTCATTTCTAACCCAAAAAAACAACACTTCAAACTAGTGTAATAAAATTCCGATAGATGGCGGGCCGCTATCAAAGGCATCGTTGCATCGGTCACCCAAAGCATTGCAGCAATGGCAGCTGTCAGTGTGACGACGAACTGCAAAAAGCAGGAGCGAATAATTACCATATTATTACTATACATAACGTGCGTTCTATGGTGTCAGGTAATAAGGTACATTAAACCCCTTGCGAGGCACATCTGGCTCGTTAAAAATAGCTCAATGGTTGATACAACCAGAGGCAGAGCAGCTCGTGCAAGATTACAATTTACAGCAATAGTATACGATAGCAAATATCT